GGGGGGGGATACAACGACAGATACCTGGGAAAATACTGGCAAGTCTATAACTCTCACAAAAAGGCCCTCGTGAGTGAGTACAGTCTACGCGTTTGCATCCCTCCGCCGAACTGGTCCAACCTAGCTGCGTGAGAAAGGCTACGACGACAGAAGGGGGGAAAACATTATGGTGGGGTTGTGGGCGTATGCGAATGCTTCCAAATGAAGTGATATTTCAGTAATTTCAGTAATCCAATGGGTCGTTTGCTCGAGTGCGATACAAGAATATGTGACATGTGCTCTTTGTGCATGCTCACAGGGCGAGTTGTGTTGGAAAAACTAATTAACATGCAATGTTCCTCCGGTAGATGGACGAGTCTCTAGACTAGAGAGGCCGATCCAACATACTTAGGGGATACTGGCGACATGAATGAAAGGTATATTACCGTATCGAATAGTTTCAAACAGTCCGCTTCTGATACCCATACTGTCAGGGAAGCGGTGTTCACCTATGACATACAGTATCCTATCGTTTGTACATACTTAACCAACTTTGTAATTGCAAAAATCAGAAAATACGACGCCCACTATTTTGAAATACTATACACAATGGCATCAAAACTTGATTTTTTAAATGGCGATCAATATGTTGCAGATAGGGATAGATGGAGGTCACTGAAGTCCATGGGTGAGATATAGGAGCTTGGCAACGGTAAATAAACCAGAACCGCAATCGTAGATAAACTAGTCAGCTGAAAGGACAATGATCGCTTTTGTTTGAACTTAGGACGGAGTAGGAATTTATGGCTTTAACATTATTACACAAACAGTCCAGATTTATATTGACTTTAACAAAACCAGGGCATTAGTTTCGCAAATATCGTGCGTATTAGGAAAACAGCAAGATATATCCTTATTGCTCTTAAACTCCAGTTGGTTAAATCTGATCCGTGCCCTCACAAGCCATTCTTTTCATTTGAAGAAAACATTAGCCTGTATGAGGGAAAAAGGATTTTCGAGCACCGGATCAATTTGTTTATTATCCTGAACTTTCCAAAGCTTACAGACGTCCGTAACAGTTAATTGGTCCACATCCTCTACAAATAGCCCCATTTTCGTTGCTGACACCCTGACGAACATAGACATCACTGACAGCTAATTGACGTATACCCCTACCGTCGCCCCTCCCCTACTTCTTAATCATCGTGTCTTACCCCCTTACGACTTGATGAACCCCGACAGCTGATTAGTGACCACTAACTAAGATTAGTTACCTTTTTGTTGCTGTTTCTTTTCTTTGACAATGGATTCCTGCAAAAGTTCGAGAGCTCAGGGCAATAAACGAAGTGACCCGGTGATCGACAACCCCTTCGTCTTCATCCATGTAAATACCTAGTACGCGAAAGTTTTCATTCATTCAGTAAGTT